CTCAAGCTTGTTTTTGTGCAAGAAAATTTACACTAATGGCACAACAGAGGGCTTTTTGTGGTGTTGGTATACCTCTTTCTATGAGAACTCCTTTTTTGCACAAGAGTTCTTGCACAAAAAGGCAAATGTGGACACAACAGGTGTTTCTTGTGCAAAAAGAGCCTACAAAAAAAGCACAGGTGCTCTGATGGCCATTCTGCAAATGGCCATCAGAACTTTCTTGTGCAACAGCATCCATGCAGTGTGGACACTCTTGTGCAAAAGCACATTGCTTTTGTGATGTGGATGCGCTTTTGCACACGAAGTTTTTGTAGAAGAGATCTTCCACAAAAAGCTTCTTGCGCAAAAACCCTGCTGTGTAGACAAAGCCAAAGAGTATGGGTGGTGGGTGGACTTGTTTCACAAGCCCATGGCATGGACAAGGGTGGGAGTCGAGTTTCCAAGACTGAACTCACTAGTCAACCAACAGTTGACCCTTTTTAATCAAGTCAAAATACCTCTAAGGAACCTTTTGGGGGAACTTATGTGAAACAGGGTTTGTGCTTACAGTGACCCTTTTTAATAAAGTCAAAATACCTCTAAGGAACCTCTTGAGGGAACTTATGTGAAACAGGGTTTGTGCTTACAAGGGACAAAGTAAACACAGCAGTCCAAAGAACTACCAGGAGTAGGGAACCATTGTAGCTTCCATAAATTCATTTGTGGGTAGAGGTACCTTGTAATTTAATTTGCTTTCCAAAAACTAAGCTGTTGTCAGAAGTCCATTAACAAGCTAGAACTGGCTCCTGTAATCAAAACTTTTCTTATATTGTTCATGGGACCAAATCATGCTGTTAAAACTTGTGTTCCTTTTCTAAAAAGCACTGCTATCTCCTATGTTGTAATCATAATTTAAGATTTCTGAGAATTGTAAAATTTACCTTTAATATTAAATCCCATATATAGTAATTTACAAGTGTTCTAGACAAACTAACATCAGGATATTACCACAATTTATCTGGGAGAATATAAACTGGATTCTTATCAGAAGTGTTTAAAATGTGACTTTCTACCCATTGAGTTTACTCTTACATTCATGGAAGTTTACTAAGACAACTTTGAAAAGCTGTATATGATCAGTTTGAAGAATTAGTCTGAATATCAGTGTGCACAAGACAATATATTGTGGTGCAAAATGGAATACCAGGAAAACCTGATAAGCAAAGTGAAGGATTTTAACGGGCAATTTAACAGGCACCTATTACTGTCTGCACAGCGATAGCTGCTTTGTTCACTGCCTGGGGTCTGGAGATCTGCAGGTGGAAAGTGGATGGGGGGGGGGGGGGGGGGGG